GGGGGGGGGGAGGGGGTGTACATGGGGCGAAGCACATTATGGGGGAGGTCAAATTAGTAGACTCAATTTATATAATTAATTAAGTTGTTATTTTCTTAACTTCACGAGCTGATTTATTTTTCTTATTATTGTTAAGGTGGACAAATTTTGTCTATATGACTCGAGGGGTTTGAATGAACTTGCGGGTTAGTGTAGTGGCCTTGCTGATGTGTCAAAGTGGGTGTTCAAAAAAATATTGCAAGGTGTGCACACAATGAATTATGGACAAACTGGAGGGGCTCCGGACTTGCATGCTAGGTATTTGAGATATAAATATATTTCTGGGAGGAGTTTTATTTTATATTATTATAAGAAATATTACAATAACCGCGTAACTACTGGTGGTTCTCTAAGGAGGAATTTAACTAAGAAAGGAGAGGATTTCCTTTTTGAATTTTTTTAATCGTTAACGAGACTAAATGAATTTTTAATGTCCATGCAGAAAATAGAGATTTGAATGCCATTAAAGTTTTACAACCAAATCAAAGTGTGCATGGTTATCCTTTTCACATTTAAATGAACTCAAATAGAAGAGCCTCTCGTATTTGAGACAAGCGGATATTTAATTGATGATTCAACCCAAGTCAAACTAAACAATATACTGATTTTTTTGTTCACATCACCTAGTCAATTGAATTGACTAGTAACTTTCTAATCATATTTCTATTTACTTTATAAATGAAAATTTGTCCAACTAGTAAACTCCTCCATCTAAAAATATCCTTAGAGGCACAGGACAAGTGATAACCAGGCCAGGTAACTGGCGGTAAGTCGACAAAAGAGAGAGAGCTGAAGTGCTTCCTTACATAAAATAATGGTTTATGCACAATAATAAAATTACAGTGACATGACAGAAGATTATTAAAATACAGGGGGCCAGGGAGTGGGTGCTAATGGGGAGTGAAAAACATCATTTGCTGAACTTGGATAAGTTCAGCTGATTGAAAGCAAAAAAAATACTTAAAGGAGTGAGGGCTCAAGAATACATGTAGATATCAGCTCCCTATCAAGCTGTGTTGTGCTCAATCATGATCCGTTGAAGAGATAAGTACTCACTCCCCAATGACACAGTAACAACATAGATCAGGAAGGGGCCAGATGTTAAATGAATACATAAGCCACCAGGGATTGCCACATAACATGCAAGTCAAGGATGGTATTACAACTTTGAGTGTTGTCTCCAAGGGCAACCACCGTCAAAAGCTTGCTCTAACACGTCTTCCATACGTTTTGCAAGCAGTATCTGTTTAGGAAAATCAAAAAGGAAACTGTGATCTTGTGTTTCATTACAGTAATAAGTTATTAAGGACCTCGTTTTAAGCACCATAAGATTGTAGAACACAAAAATACGCAGACAGAAAGTCCATGGCGTCTTTGAAAAAGTACTTACTATAAGACTGGACAAGCAAAATAATGATTATATTTTTTGGGGCCAAAAACATGTTTACATTAGTACAAACTATGCTCTGCTCACACTAAAATTGAGCAAACATGCTGGAATACAAGGAAACCAAATTACCTCCAAGTTGGCCAGGACTGATGATGGTACTTCAACCAAGTCCTTCATGTTCCTTTCAGGTAGGATGACTCTCTTAATACCACATCGATGTGCAGCTAATATCTGTGAAAGATATATAACAATCAGATTATGCCACATTTTTATAACCTTAAGCGTGTTCTAATACGCAAAAACATCTAATTGCAGAACCCTATTTCAAGGACCCAATTATAAATGATTTACAAGTTCTAAGACTAACAAAGTTTTAAAATATAAAGACCTATATGAAAATTCCTAAATAACTCGGACTTTAATTTAACCTATTTAATAACCCACTAATCCATTGACATCTTTTAGAAAATTTTCACTGGTCATTAAACATAAGAAATTACCTTATCCTTAATACCACCCACAGGTAGTACAAGACCCCTTAATGTCATCTCCCCGGTCATAGCTGTATCTGATCTCACTCTTTTCTGACTGAAAAGTGATACCAATGCTGTTACCAAAGTCACACCAGCTGAAGGCCCATCTTTGGGTACAGCACCTGCAGGAAAATGTATATGTATATCACGGCCCTCCAACAGATTACTGCCTTCTGCAGCAGCTAGCCTAAGTTCAGCTGCTCTTGCCCTTACCTATAAATGAATCAGTTATAGTCAATGAAATGAGTCTTCAATTGATACAAACATATATACCGGTGAGATGGCAAGTGTTAAATGCACACAAATAGACAAACTTGAGTTAGCCAATGAACTTGATACGATATGATGTGTTTACAAAAGAGTTATAGTACTAACCTATATATATATAATATATATATATATATATATATGAGAAGGGATCCGTTCATTTTAGGAATAAGTTTACCTAAACTTACTCCGTTCAATAATTCATGTTCTACATCAAATTTCAACAATCCAACTGTTGAATTTAAAATTCTTAATACATAGATCAAGTCTGCAAATTTTTAAAAAATTTGAAAATCATTTGATACTTTATTTCATTAATTCAAATTGACGGGTAATCATAAAATCATTTTATATGATGATTTGAATTAATAAAACGAAGTATCAAATTATTTTCAAATTTTTAAAAAATTTGCAGAGTGCAGACTTGATCTATGCATTAAAAACTTTAAATTCAACTGTTGGATCATAAAAATTTGATATAGAATAGAATATGAGTTATTGAACAGTATAAGTCTACCAAGACTTATTCCCGATATAAACGAATCCCCCCCCCTTCCTCTCTCTCTATATATACACACACACATACATACTAATACTAGATCACATACCTAATTAAATAAGAAAAAAAAGTTCATGATATCATATAAGGAATTATGAAAACCAATGCCAAGAAATAATAAGGGAATAGGAAATTAATCCTAATTCCTAAGTGATAATCTAAGATGTAATCCAGATACTTTTTGATATTTGTCATTCATTCTAACTGCCCCGTTTGTTTTCTAGGGAATAAGAGAGGTCGTAAATTGATAATGAATTATTAAGTTTTTGTTCATGTTCCATACAATTAAGATGCATATCCTTGTTTTGTAAATCCTTTCCTTATATTACAATGCTTTGGCAATTGAATGTACAAGAATAACATAATATATGAGTAGAAGGGCATAAAATCAACAATAAGGAGAACAGGATAATGGCAAACAAGCACTTAGGCACATGCATGTGGCTATTAGCCTGTTACATGTAACATGAAACATTTTGAAGTGAACCTAAAGGAAAAGATTCAATCAACAGAATCAAGATAAGGGTGGGTTAAAACTCAATCAGATGTTAGTGGTTACCCATGTAAGAGCAATCTGAGCTGATTCTTTGATTACATCACCCAGTTGTCCAGTAAGATGCAATTCACCCTTCCCAACCATTGCTGTAGCCTCCACATACTGAACTTCTCCACCAAAAGTAGTCCAAACCAGCCCAACAGATACCCCAGGATTAGCAACACGATCTGCTGCTTCTCTTCCATCAAACTTTGGGGGCTGCAGTTGACAACATTAAAAAATTAGGCATTTCTCCCCTTTAACCATATTATCAAATTAAATTTCCATCTAAGATTTGTTCGAGATCACTTTGAAGATGACTTCATAAACAAGGTACTCATTCATGTTATATATCTGACCTATACTTAAGTATATTTTAATTTAGCCCTCACTGCATTCTCAGGTGCCAAGGGGATTATATACCTAAACATAGAGACTAGCGTGCATAGAAAACACAATTTCCTGATGTACAATACAGAATTATATGGCAAGCTTTGAAAGCATTAGATTCCAGTTGCGGAGGGACAGACAGCAACTTTTATATAATTTAATCCATCAATTATTGTATTGGAAACTTCAACTGCTAACACATAAATTTGCACAGCAATTACCCCAAGCACTTTTTCAATCATGGCTTCATCAACAACCAACGGAGAGGTGATCCGGAAAGTGCTTGAAATGTCACGATTGTTGACACCCATTGGTATCACTTCCATTTCAACTTCAGCACCATCAGCAAGTCTGTTTTCCAGAAGTGGGGCAGAAAGTCCCTGTACCCCTTTGTTAAGTGGAACTACTTCTTGCTCTGCTACTCTTACAGCAGCAGCACGAGCCAAGGCAGCAAGATTCCTTTCCAAATTGCGTACACCAGCTTCCCTAGTATATTGCTGAATAACAAGTTGCACCATCCCCTATATCAAAATAGTTTCTGTTTAGAATCCAATACCAAAAATTTCTTTCTAAAATAAGAATCCATATGGATTAGAGTATTTCTGTGCATCTATAAAGTATGCTTTACATGTTTTATATAGTTTTATAGTAAGTAGAAGAGCAGGCAACCCTAGTTGCAAATTACTAAGGAGGACTTCTAATGCTCAATTAACAAAATTTTTACAAAAGCATCAAATTTCAAATATCAAGCAGAGTTGGAAAAGAGAGATGCAAGAACAAGTAGCTATCGTCTGGAATTTCTGGAACTATACATATACATCCAGGTAAAAACAAT